CTGAGTCTGCTGGTTTTTGATACTGACCACTAACTGTATCATCTGAACTCTAAAATCTTTCATTTCATTTGAGGGACTAGCTATACATTAAATTTATTGTGTAGCTATAAGTCTTTTTCTACTTGAATTCATTACAAGTAAAAAAAAATCCTTCTGGGCATGGTTTCTAGCTGTATGTGGGAAAGGAGTGGAACTTTTTAAAAAGCACATGTAGCTAGAATGCTGCTGTACCTTTGTATGGCTCTTATATGTCTTATTCTAGTAGAAAGCTTCTATTTGCTTACATGAACTTTCATCTAGGCATCGATTAGGTTCTTTCTTTCCTAACTTCAGCAACTGGAGTGCTCACTGCATCACCCACTGAGCCATTTTCTCTAAATAGAAGAAAAACTGAACCCTTAAAAATATCACAGCATAAGAATAAGAAATCACACATGCGTAATTGTTAGTCTAAATAGGGTAAAATGTAGGAGGAAGGTCGGTGTTCAACTGCTTACAAATCCCCCAAACAGCGAAATACATGCAGGCTCAGGATTTATTTTTCAGACAGAGCAGAGGAAAGGCTTGGATGACTAAACATAAACTGACTAAGCAAAGGGAGCGAATGCCACAGAAGCAGAGTCACCTGTATTACAGACCCAAGCTTATCAGGCTGCATATCAATCATACACTGGGGCGAACTCAGACTGAGGACACTGCAGCCTAAGTAGCTACCGTTGTAACAAACTTGGATACCTTGTGCCTTGACTCATTTAAAACCTTCTGTGAAAAACACTGTATGCTAGTCTTAAAACTGAATAGGATTCCCTTGTGCTGATTATAATAAACTGATGTTGCAGTTTAGCCCATTAATTACTGGCTTTTATTCTTTCGAGATAACTAACAAGGTCCTAGATACTAAACAATGGAGCAAATGTTTTAGTATTAGCCGTGTAAGTAAGAAACTGAGGTGGGTGTTCCTTTCTCCATTGCAACATCTCTAGAAATTCTCATAGAATCTTATTCCTAGTTTAATTTTAACTTGATACTAGTGAAACATTTTAGGTTTCAAAAAGCAGTGTTATAAATCTTGGTACAAACTTGAATTTCTGAAGAATCAATGGCTAACTACACATTGTACAAATCCAAGACATGGATTTTCTTTTTTAGAAATGCTGTTGCAGACTCTCTGGTGGAGAAAGGAGGGTATCTAACCATTTCCCTGCTTGCACTGTTCATGCTCCTGTTGTTTTTTTCCTGACTGTTGAAGGCAGGGGTTGAAAAGCATGCCTGTGGAAGGACATGCATATTATTTTAGCCAGCAAAGGAAAGAAACTACTTCTTCATTCTTCTGTAGTCACCTTTTAAAAACTACATTGTGCATTTCAGCTTCAATGTTTCGCTTTGTTCTTCCATATATACTATGTCTCACCAAGAGCTGCTTGGGCTGGCTTGATGTTACCTTTGGAATTCAGAAACAGTCTGTCTAGTACCTTTTTTCATATTCTGATGAATATGATGTTGAACACTAAGGCCAGGAACCAAACAACTGTGGAAATAACTCAGGATGCTCCAGGTGGCTTGAATGCCCTTTAGCAGCCTTCTCAATGCTTCCTGGCAAGTTGTTTTGAACTGATGTTTCTATGTATCTTTGATATTTTTGTATTCATAATAGGTGTATTTAACTGAGCTTAATGTAAGGCAGTATTCTGCAATGCGGTATTCTCCAGTGCTTAGAATGACAGCTTCCAACATGCCCAACCAATAGTTGTGTGTGACGGATGCTATTGTCCAGAATGTCTGGTGAGCACCAAGTTAGGGAAAGCTAGTGTTAGTGAACAAGATCTAATTCACTACTTCACTGGCAGTAATGTTGTATCTCCTTACCTGGCAGTAAGTCCCACTGAACTCAATGAGACCTTTTTCTGAGCAGTCGTGTATAGCTCCTAAACACAGCTTAATTCTTGACTGTTTGTTGTGAATAGCAGAGCTCTCCCCACCATGAAACTGCTTTTGAAGGTCATTTCAATTTAAAAAAAAACCTGACATGAAGTACTGAGGAGATTTCCAAGCCAAGCTGCACCTCCCAGAGCATCCAGACTCACTTGCATAGTTATGTGGATCCTGACCTTAGAGTCTCAACACTATTTTCAGAAGTTTTTCATCTATCCACATTCCTATTTATGTGATCAATTGGGTGTATGAACAAATGGTCGAAGGAGAAAGTGCTTGCTTGCTGGTTCTGCCAACTTCTCATGTGTTTATCTGAAACTGCAAATATGGAACTTATAATCTCACATATGGGATGCTTGTAGGATCCTTCTGAATGGTTGGTGATGTGCTTGTATGCATGTTTTTTTGAGATAAATGTGTGGGTATGGGTACAGGAGCTACAACCCATCCGGCTCCTGTTCATGTGCCCATATATACATAGAAATTGTATGAATGGGACTTATAATAAACAGTGCTCACAATTTTTAGTCTGTTTAAATACCTGTGCTTCATAACTGAGAAATACAGTGGCTACCAGAGGGCCTGGTTGGAATGTTTGCCCTGATTGTATATTTTTAGGATTTTGGTGGGCAAGCCTGTCCGATAACTGGTATGGTTGGCCAAGATTGACACATTTCAGAATCTTCCATTGTTGTGAATGATTTAGTCTGCAATCCCAAACTACTTTTAAATTTAAGTAAGGGAATAGGCATGCATATGGTTTTAGAATGGAACAGAAAATGGCTCTGAATTGAAGAAATAATTCAAAAGAGACAGAAGTCTGTTGCCAATAAAAAACTCTAACCAAGAAACTATTGAAAGCTGAAGAAACATTTTCACTCTCTCTCTCTCAACATTTTTCTCACAGGATCAATTTCATGACAAGTAAACTGTTCACGATTGCTACATGGAGCTATGTTATTCATTACAGCCAGTAATGTTAGAAATCCTCTAAGTTAAACTGTGCAGCAGTTTATTTCACTCCTTAGGCTCAAAAAAACCACCATGTGTTTCCACAAAAATAAAAAGAAATGACAATTACTGAGTATTGTCAAGCAAATCAAATTAGGTGAAAGCATTATTCCAAACATTCAAATTGCCGTAGCAGTTACCTAGCTAATATTTGACAGAGCTCAAATAACAGTAGAATCGAAAAGATCGCATAACAAGAGTACTGACTAGCAGTGAGCCAGCAGAATTTGACACAAGTGCACAGGGTGTTAAAAGGAGCACAGCCTCTGTTTGAAACCGAATGTGTTCCAAAGCTAACAAACAGCAGGCGGTTGAAGAAGTGGTAAAACAAGAACCAGCGTAATTGTAAACCAGGATTGCTGGTTGTCAGAAGTAGCTTTTTCCAGTGTGGCCACTGTAAGCATCCCTATTAGTGCTTCAGCAGTCCTTACATCACAGACCTGTTGTTACATTGGAGTTCTCACTTTTGGCCTTTTCCCAAGAGGGAGATGGCCTCTTGCTTTTCTCATCAGCTTAAGAGAGAGGGATTGTTGGGAGATGAAGTCCTTACAGTTAGCAGCCCGATTACAGTGCAAGTGGGGGGAATGGAAAACCTATGTGGGACTACAGCTCCTATCATTTATGTCCGTAGGCCATGCTGACTGGGCATGAGGGGGGATGAAATGAAGATAGAAACACAATAGTTTTTTGAACTGATGATGAAAGAAATTTGATGCAAGTCTCTTTTTTCAGGGAGAATAAGAGTGGATGATCTTTTTTTTAAAGGACAGGGTTAATTACTAATTACAATGTAATAATAACACCTGTATAAATTTCATGGGCACTCCATGATTTGCTAGCTATTTCTAATCAGAGCTGTAAACTTTCCTGACCTAATCTGTGTTTTTTTCTGGTAAAGACAGAGGGGTAGAGTTCCATCAAAACACACCAACACTTCTGTAGCTTGCATACGAGCAGGACAAGGCAGGTAGGGAGGACAGAAGAGCAAAAACTGATGCTCACTTTCTATAAAGCAATGATCTGATGTGCTACATTTACAAGTGTAGGGTGTTTTTGTCATAAAGAGCACAAGGACATTCTATGTAAATAACTTCTATGTAAATGTCTAGTGTTTATGTGTACATGTCTTACTAAATCAGTAATGGTATTTGCCACTACTCTCCAATATAGCTGTTGGAACATTTTGAAATATTTTGTGGTGTTATGTGTTTTGCTTACCATGAATTAATGCATCTATAATTCAAATTCAGGATCAGGCCAAGAATGCATCAGTACAAAGTAGTAATACATATTTAAGATAGAAGTGGCACTACTTCAATCTGCTTAAATATCTAGAAATGTATTAAAGAGAAAACAGTGTGTGTGCCAGTGTTTAATCAGAAGTAAGTTCCATTGTGTTCAATAGACTTTTTTCCAGGTAGGTGTTCTGGATTGCAGCCACAGTCTAAAAAGAGAATATGGAAACCCTACAAGCTTAATGCATGGTAAGGTAAAGGTAAAGGTTTCCCCCATGACAGTAAAGTCCAGTCATGTCTGACTCTAGGGGGCAGTGCTCATCTCTGTTTCCTAGCCGAAGGAGCCAGCATTTGTCTGCAGACAGTTTCCATGGTCATGTGGCCGGCATGACAGCAAAGTGCATGAAACATTGTTACCTTCCCACCAGAGTGGTACCTTTTTATCTACTTGCATTTGGATGCTTTCGAACTGCAAGGTTGGCAGGAGCTAGGATGGAGCAACGGGAACTCACCCTGTTGTGCAGCTTCGAACTGGCGACCTTTTGATCAACCAGCCCAGCAGCACAGCAGTTTAAACCACTGCGCAACCTGCATCCCTTAATGCATGGTGGCTGTATGTAAATATATAAAGAACTAGTTATCTAAAATCTCTAAATATATAGTAAGCATCTGTGCCACATCTCATTGCATGTGTTGAGACATCTCGGAAAGTATGCTGGAGATGCTAGAGTGCCCTGGCAGCAATTGGCCCTGAAATAATATTATATAATATCCACGTGGAGGATTCTTTTATTTTTTTATAAATAAATACATAAATAAAACTAGGACTGCATTAATTGATTACTTACTATACACAGTGCCTAGGTTTTATAGATATCATATGCAAATCTCCTCTGTAAGTGTCCCAAAGAAAACATAATTTTGTGAATATGCCCTTTATTTGACATGAATTATGGTTTATTTGAGAAATGAAAATGTTTCATAATTTAACACCCGTGACTGCCTGGTGGGAACAAGTTGATGCAAGAAAAGTGTTACTGCAGGATCTTGCTTGGAGATATAATTTGATTAAATGTTCTTTTAAAGTTTATCAGACTGGCTAATAAATTGCATGAAATTGTTCTAAGAATAAAGGTGAATTGTATAACTAGCTATAAAACAGTGACTTTACCAAGGTCATCTGGTGATGTAAAATGGTTTGTTGTGTTTTGCTGTACCAATGAGGCCATTTAATTGCACATCCATCATGGGCTGCATATCTATAGTGATCCAGATTTGGGAGCCATTACAGTAAAATGTTAAACATATCACACTTCGATAGATCACCAGTCCAAGGAAATACCTATGCAGAAACATTTAACCACTATTTAGAGGGATGGAGAAGGAAGGAGGTTTTCTTTTGGAAGCTATTGGCAATAGAACCATTGGCAGAAAAATGTTGTTCCAAGAAGGAACTTTAGCAGTTCCTGAAACAGGATCATGGCAGAAGCAGGAAGCTACAGGAAGAAGCCTGCTGGAACAGCACCTGTTCCTGGTTGTGAGGGATCATTGGTGGAGCTCAGGGCACTCTGCTGTAAAAGAAAACCACTGAAAACTTATTACCTGGAGAAGACTCATTTCCTGGGAAGGCTAACCAAAGATATTTAACTGTGCTTTAACTAATACTATCCTATTTGAAAAATAATTATTCCCTTATGTATAGAATTTCTATGCAGAACAATCCTATGGCCTTCTGGACATTGTTGGCTACTGTGCTACTTCTCCAACACCATAAGAAGGGATTTAGGGAGTTATAGGAGGAGGCTGGGGAGAGGAGAGTAGATCTACTAGGATACAACATAACCTGGTGTAGCTCCAGCCTCCCTCCCTCCCTGTCCAAAATACTTCAGCCTTTGTACCCTAAATGATGATAGCCAGTGTGGTATAGTGGTGAAGAGCATGGGACTGGGACTCAGACGATCTGGGTTCTAGTCCCCACTTAGCCATGGAGTCAGGAGAACCCACAGGTTATTCTTCTGCACATGAGGACAAGCAGTCATTTAAACAGGCTTTCTACTACATTGTTCAATGATACTTTCTCATAAGTAAAAGTGAAACCATAATTCTTTAATTCAGGGATGGGGAACCTTAGTCGCAGGGACCAAATCCAGTTCCTGGGGTCCTAATCCAGACCTCAAGGTGTCTCCAAATGGCCCCATCACCTGGGCCTTCCTCTTTTCCACAGCTAATGATTCTCTGATAGTTTTATTTCTGTGGTGTAACCATCCACCCCCATTTTTTTGAAAAGCAGAGCTGTATCTTCTGAAATTAAGTTACAGGCACTTAGAGCTTTAAATTATAATATACTAGCATTCCCCCCACCCCACCCACCCCCATTTTTACCTTCAGCCCTGCCTCCCTTGCAATATGGTCCCCAAGATCTTCTCTGAAATTTGGTCTTAGGTCCGAAAACAGTATCTCATCTTGGCTTTATTCCTTCCCCACTGAAATTTTTATCATTCAGGAGCAAGAGGAGCTCCCACCAATATACATTATAACAATTTCTTCATAGGTATACATAGGACAAGGCAGAAATCCACTCCTGTATCCTTAGCACTTTGGATTTGCTTCTGTTGGACCAGCATTTTCTTAATATTTAGAAAAATAGAAACATAGAAATAGTGAGTCAGAAGGGCCTCCTGGGCCATCACATCTGACCCCTGACTTCAGCTGGTTCCACTCATGACATGCCCATCATGTGCATGTCCAGCCTATCCTTAAACACCCTCACTAAAGGGGCTTCAACCACCTCCTGTGGAAGCCCATTCCATACCTTTGGGGTACTAACAATCAGGAAGTACTTCCTGGTATCCACCCTAAATCTTGGTTCCTTGAGCTGTGATCCATTGGAACACATCCTGCCCTCCACTGCAGAGGAAAAAAAGGTCATGATCCACCTTCGTGTGGCATCCCCTCATGTGCCTTTGTAATATAATTTGCAGCTGAGATAAATGAAGTTATTTTTAAAGGCTCAAAAAGTTTGAATATTTCAGAACTGCTAGAAACTTCTTCAATCTGTTAAATATATTTTATCTTTTTCTTTGTATCTGGTTAATTTTGCATGTAAATCAAAAGAATAAGATTAATGGGAAGTTCATCAACCTGGAACTGTGGAAACCCTGTATAAAATTGCACTAATCTGGAGTGGAAAGAAGGGAACATTGAAACCTAAAGTACTGGCACAATGAAATCAATTATGTTTTAATGATATATAGAAAAGGCATATAATTATGAAACGTGATTTTCAGCTTTTTAATGGATATATAACTTTGATGCTTAGCTTTAAAAGTTATACAGATTTCAGACTTCAAAGTAACAGATTATTTTTGTGGAAAGTGATCTGTACATGTTTGAAAGATATATAAGAATTTTCATCCTCTAAGTTGGATTGCATGGCAAGAATGCTTTCAAGAACAGCAGTATGAACAGTGGGCTTCCATTAAAGGGATTTGGTGCACACATTTTTAACAGATTTATAAACTTTAGCAGATTTATATTTAAAATACATGCATATATTTATGAATGATGTTTTTCTGAACACGCTGAAATAGTATTCTTATTGTCATGTGCTGCCAAACTGTTTCTGACTTATGGCAACCCTATGAATGAATACTCTCCAACCTGTCCTGTTCTTGACAGACCTGCTCAGATCTTGTAAATTCAAGCCTGTGCCTTCTCTTTATGGAACCAGTCCATCTCATAGTTGTCTTCCTCTTCTTCTGCCCTTCAAATTTCCCTAGTGTGTCTTGCCTTCTCATGTTGTGTCCGAAGTATGACAGTTTTGTCATTTCTGCTTCCAGGGAGGGTTCTAGCTTAATTGTAGGGCCCACTTGTTCATCTTTCTGTCAGTCCAGGGTATCCACAGAATATATACTATTCTACATTGTCAGTGTGTTGATCTGCTAAGTCTTCTGGGGGAAAAAATCTGAGAAGAGTGGGAGGAAAAAGTGTGAATTTTCATATACCAGATGATCAACACATCCCTTCCTCTCACATATACACTCTTTCCACAACGCATGGAGTACTTGTGTCATGCATACCATAGGAAGGGTTAGGAAGGGCCCAGAAGGCATTGGGTTCAACCCCCTGCTGGTGCTGGACACCAAGTCAAACTACTCAGATCACTGTCTAGTTTTGCCTTCAATGTCTCTAGTGTGGGAAAGCTGGTTCCATTGTTGTATTTCTCTGACAGTTCAGAAGCTTTTCCTGCTGTCAGTCCTGAATCTGGTGTGTTGCAGGAAGTTTGTTGTTCCATGTCCTACATTAAGGGATGAGTAAGAACAGGTATTTTCCTTTCTCTTTGTGACAGTGTTTGGGATATTTGTAGAGTGCTTGTAATGTGAATCAGCATCCTAGGCTCCAGAAGGAATGGTTAATATAGGAACTGACAAAATGCTAGAAATACCAGGGACCAACCTAGTGGGAATCTGGTGCCCAAGACCTTTGGGAGACATCCTTCTCCCTTTTGGGTTAAGGAGGTGAGAACTATCTAAATTGGCCTCAAGGACACTGAAGATAATGCTGATGATGGGCTAAAGACTGGCACCTGGAGTAAAAGGCTGGCTGAAGAGACTGAGAGATGGACCATCACCCTACCAGTCAGCTGACCTAGGTTGGGCAGGGAATAAAGCCGAAGAACAGAGCAGCCTTTTGTTCTTCTCCTGGGAGGTCCCATTTCTGCTGTTCTTTCTCCTTGCTGAAGAGTATTGTGACATCCTGTGTGCTCTCTGCTATTAAATTATTGTGTCTAGGCATGGATAGAAGCTGTTTGTTATTTTGTTGTCTGAGTGGGCCAGCAAGGACCTGGGAGTGGAGTTCTTGGTTGGCTATAACTTGTGTTGCTACTGCTGGCCGTTTCCCCTTCCCTCCCCCTTTCCCCTCTTTCCTGCTTTTATCCTTTTTTAGATTCTGTGTTTTAGTCCCTGTTGTGAGGTGTCAGCTCACAGTCGTAAATGACCCACACTTATGCAGGCAATAAAACTAAAGTCTTTTATTGCTACTTTTCTACAAGATTTATGATGCTACAAATAAGCTCTACTGCAATGACCTTTACAAGTTAGTTGCTATCTTCTTAGTGACGTCCCTCAGGGAACCCACGTGGGATTAGCTTTCTTTGTCCCACCTTTCCCCCCTGAGGTGGGACAAAGCCTCCTTTTGGTCCAATTGGCGTAAGCTATGACTAAGAGTCGCGCGAGACAAATATATCCCACCTCCTGCATCTTCTGTATCTTGTTCAGGAGACTTAGCATCAGGAGGAAGGGGGGTATCCTGCCCACGCTCTTCAGGGGCAGAACTTGTAGTGCCTTTTCCCTTGGGGCCCTCATGGTCGGACAGAGGCTTGGCTGTTTGCCCAAGGGGTAAAGGGTCAGGATGAGGGATGGCTATCTGTTCAGCTACTCCCAAGCCAGGTTGTGGAAGGGTCACTTGGCCACAGGGCCTCAAGTATAAGTCCTCCTGTTCTGATGTCTGATTCTCTCTTTGGGTGTTTGACTCTTCCTCATGAGGTGCCGCCTCTGTTGAGGCATCAGGCACGACAGCCCCCCCCCCCTTGTATATTTAACCTTTTAATAAAGTTGTTTGTTTCCCCAAGCTTGGGTTTGTTGTGTGCTGAATCCAGTGGCTGGTCCAGGGTTCTGGGATCAGGAACTTCCTTGGCAATATTTGGTTCAGTTGGTGGGGGGGAATGGGGAATCCCTGCTGGTTTTCCTTTACAGTGCTTTCATATTTCCTTGTAGTGTTCTCTTCTCGAGGCTAAAATGCCCAGCTCTTTCATATATTCTCAAAGGGCTAAATTGCC